ATGATCTGCCTGGAGCCCTTTCCAGGCTGAATAGCCACAAGGATCTCAGCCTGTCCTCTTAAGAGATGTGTTCCAGCCCTCTGATCAACTTTGTGGTTCTCCTCTTCCTCCAACTGTTCAACCTCTTTGTTTTATTGGGGGTTTAAGAGTTGGATGCAGCACTCCAGGTGGGGTCTCACAAAGGCAGAGCAGAGGGACAGAATCATCACCCTTGACCGCCCAGTCACACCTCTTTTGATGCAACTCAGGATGCATTTGGTTTTCTGGGCTGCAAGTGCGCTTTGCCAAGTCATATTGAGTTTTTCATTCACAAACATTACTAGGTTCTCCTTCCCAGTGCTGATCTCAGTCTGTTCTGCATCCAGGTTGTATTTGTGCTTGGGACTTCCCCAACCCAGCAGCAGGGCCCTGCACTTGGCCTTGCTGAACTTCATGGGCTTTGCACAGGGCTACCTCTCAAGCCTGTCCAGGTTCCTCAGGATGGCATTGCTTCCTTTCAGAGTGTCACTGCACCCCACAGCTTGGTGTCACTGGCAAACTTGCTGAAGGCACACTCAATCCCACTATCCATGTCACCAACAAAAATGTTAAAAAGTGCTGGTTTCAATACTGATCCCTGAGGAACAGCACTCAATAGCATGATATTTTTAGATAGTGAGTGTCAATCTTCCACTGTACACGACTCAGAAAACAGACTGAAGAGCAGAGCAAAACCAGAAAGCAGATAGCAGTATTTTCATTCTATTCCTGGAAAGTGGTGATAGCAATGTGAAGCACTGTAGCTAACCTTAGGAAGTGATCTTCTGCATGAAACAGTGAATTTCCAGCCTATTTCAATCTGCTGTAGGTTTGAACCACTGTTAGGGTAAAACACCAAGGTCATATTAATTTCCATGGTGCAAAATAATAGAAAATTCCTGAATACAGAAACCATGCCAGAGTAGAGTTTGCATTGGCACAGAGCAGATGTCACTTCTTGGTTTTGTTCTTGGAAAATGGCACAAAGAGCCTGATTCTGCACCTCATGCAGTGATTCTCAGTGTCTTCTTACATTCTGTGGGAAAACATGCCAGCTGATGGCTTACCCCAGCTGCAGCAAGGAGTATGATACCAAATACTTTGGTTTAGTATCAGTCTGAGCAGAGTCATTCAATGCACTGCAATGCCAGGAGAAGGGGCTAGATTGTTCACCATGGCTTTTAAAAGATCTCTCTGGGAGATTTATCAAGACCACACTGTACCTTTAATCTCAAGGCAGAGCAGGTTCCACTAATCAGTATTTCTAACCCAGTGCTATTCCACTGCATGGTTAGGATAGGATAGGATAGGATAGGATAGGATAGGATAGGATAGGATAGGATAGGATAGGATAGGATAGGACAAGATAGGATGACAGTTTGCTGTCTTTTACTTTGAACGCTACCTAAAGAGATGAAAGAATTAGCATATCTTTTGATATACATTTGAGCATTTGTGACTTTTTTCTATGTACAGTTTTTGAAATATGGTATATGAAATTCTGAAAGGCTGAAAGGTGTGGCCTAGGAAGAAGGTTCACTTTGCATTTGAAGAGAGACATCATTGGAATTCAACCTAACAAAACTTTCTGTATGTTCATTTTCCTCTTTGTGTAAATAATTTCTAATGGCTGACACAGCTACATTGCTGGCTATTACACAGCTTTGGTGATGATGTGTTGGTTGCCTCTTGTTTGGTTAGTTTTGTTTGTTTTGTGGTGGTTTTTTTTATTCCTTCTGCAGACAGATTTTAGGCTTTTCATTGTTTACACCAGGTCTGAAAAAACAAACTACACAAAAGGTGATGATGATACTGTCTTCTGATTACTTGATTGGTAGATTTTGGGACAGATGACACTGGATACACTTTAGAAAACACAAAGGTAGCTGGCTGAAAGACTCAGATGTACAGGAAGCCCACCTTGTAACACAAAGGAAAGAAAATCTCGAGAGCAACTCAGACACTCAAAAATCTAGTGCCTTTTGTGTACCAGAAGAGTATCCTCCCTGGCCCCAAAACATGTATGTAAATAAACTCTAGTTCTGTGCATTTTAGGACAGCCCATGCAGATGTCTAGGGCACCCCTGACAGTCTCTAATGACTCAGCTACTCTTTTTTATTATTACGTAGATTGCAAGCATGGAAAACATGCATCCTTTCTCCTTGTAATGTGATCTCTATGCATTCCTTTAATCTGTTGTTTAAAAAAATACTTCCTCTGAGCCAAGGGATATATTTGATTCGAGATTTAAATCAAGGAGAATGCTTGATTTCAGAAAATTTAATGGAGAACCCCCAAAATTTTACTAAATGCAAGAGGTCACTGACTTCTGCTTTCTATCTGTCCTGTAGCGTATCTGGTGCTCTGTTTCACATGTGCATATTGGATAATCAGTTTTTCCCATCAGTCTGAACAATTAATTACCTCTTTATGTACAGATTTCATGCATCCATAATGTAGATGACAGGTTATAATGTAAGTATTCTATTAATTATTCGTATTCAATCAGCTGCATGCTTCAATCAGAATCTTGTAAATAAGAAGCTACACACAGTTCCATTTCACATTCTAGAAGTAGGAGTCTTTTTACTACTCTCCACCTCCAGGCAACATCACAATTATACAGAAAAAATAAACAAAAATTTAAACTCATTTTACTGTAGCTTTGTTACATTATTAATATTTAAATACATATTATTAAAGAAAAATGGGATATGTGCTATAATAATGGCTTGATTAAAAAGAGTTCTGCTTTAAAATGGTAAGAGAATGTGCATATCTAAACACTCAAGGGTGTATAAACAGGAAATTTGTTTTCACTTCTTCTTTTATTCTTTCTTTAAATATTTTAGGCTTATATAATACTTATTAATAGCAAAAATGTATTTGCAGTGATGTATTAAGCTATTCTTTAAAGCAGTCAATGGTTTCTTTCAGGCCTGATGTCCCCTAAATAATTTGTCAGAAACTGCTGAATTTCTAACGAAATTTCCTTTCACCTTATGCTAAATGTAGAAATTATTTAAATAAGTAGAAAATTATCCACCCACAAAACACAAATGCACTGGCACTATTTTCTAATTGCTGCAATCATGTTGCACATTCTTACTGGTACCAAAGCTGGTGGCTCAAACTGGAGAAGGGATTAATTTCACTGCATCATTGAGAAGAGCGATAATTGTGCTCTGAGATGTGTAAGCAAAGTCACCACACTGTAGGACTTTATACCAATTAAATGGGAAAAGCTCTGGTGGTGAGAAACTAGTGAAGAATTGAAGGTTTTCATCATGTGTGGATTTTATCCTGTGTTCCAGTAAGAGACTGGTGAGCTGTATAAAATATCCTTTGTCATGTGGGTGGGAAAACTAATAATGGGGTAGCCAGCAATTGGTTGTTAAATTGGCAATTCTTTAATTGCCAATCTAGCAAATTTTCAGTTTATTGAAAAGTGGTAGGTTTAGGTGGCACAGGAACTGAAACTTCTTGCTCCTGAGAAGAAACCCAACTGACAAAATTAGATATAGCTCACATGATTGAAATGTATTCCTACAATCATTGTGGAAATAAATCAAAGGAATTCTGCAGCAATGTATAAAACTCTGTAATAGACACATTATTACATATGCGCCTATATTGTAACAAATAAATTTAGGGGAACTAATTATTCTTTTAAACATTAAAATGGGAAAATATATCTATTAGTATTTCCTGTTGGACAGCTAGAAAAGGTAAAAGTCTATGCCTAGATTTGTACTGAATTTCCTTAATCTGCATTTACTCTTATCAGCACACTTCCACAGTTGCAAAGTTGTTGCTAAAGACAGAAAAGGAAGCCTTTTCTTCCTTGACAGAGGGAATTGACACCATGGACAAATGTAGGTGGTCACTTTGGAGGTAATATGGAATAATAGCATGTATTAGAATAAAATGCTTTTTATTTTTTTAATAGACTGACAGAAATACGGTTTAACTATACTTAATACAGGTAAATTGTAATCAATAAAATCTAAATAGAGGGTATTTTAATCTAACCTTCAACTTGAATCACAAAATATTGAGATGAAAACTGCAAGAAAATGTAAAATATCTGTTGTGGCTTTTATCTATTCAGTTTTCACCAGCATCTTGTACACAATTCCATGCAAGCAGCTCATTACTAGTGTTGCAGACTTTAATATCAGAAGTGAGGGGGAAAAGGGGTGGAGGCTATCACCACATTATAACCACCAAAGTTATAGTTCCAACAACCGTGAGGGTGGAAAACATACAGAGTTGATACTAAAGTGAAATTTAAAGAATAAAAGGAGTTACACAGATTCAGGTCTGCAGGTTTTTTTCTGCTCTGCTTAATGCAGTCATGAAACCTTCACTGGAGATGAGGTGACGTTATTTCTTCACATGTGGCATTCACTACCAAAATAGAAAGAACAGAAAAGAACTTAAAACTCAGTTTCCTTCTAGCTGTAGAAACAAATAAATAAACACTTTCCCCAACCCAGAACAAAAGCACTTTACAGATGTGAGTTCCCTTGAGGGAGGCCTCAGCCTGAAAACCACAGAAGTTCACAAAATCTTCACATGAAGATTTTTCATAGCCATGTGTCTGAAGGCTACATAGTAATGACAGACAGTAAAGCAAGATGAGTAACAAAGAGTAATAAAGTTGCTCTAGATGTTAGAGGGCACCTGAGTTAGTTAGGGGTGAGGTTTTGTTAAGAACAGGAATGAGCAAAAGAAGAAAGATGTAAGGATTGGGTTTTTTCCTTTTCTTCCAGTGCCATTGAGCATTCTAACTCTTCTGAAGAACCTTGTATTTTAAGACTCCAGAGCTTCCACAACCCATTTTTTTAATATAGAAAAAAAGGATTATATTGCCTGAGCCAAGCTGATGCCAAGATACTTGGTTTTTACACTCTCTTATTTTTCCATTTTTTATACTTCATAATACATGGAATTTTTTTTTTATTTTTTTTTTAGATTCCTGAGATCAAATCTAAGAGAAGGACTCTGGTTGAATCCTTTAGGTAACATCTAGGTAATTATTGAAGAGGTTCTGTCTCTGTAGTCATTGAGTCTCAATGCAAACTTGGATGTTATGCAGCTGTTGCTGGAGGGGAGTGTCTAATGTTGGGTTTTTTTTACAGTAACCAGCTCCTGGGGAAATTAAGATTCAGGTGCCTGCTTGAATTTGGGAATAGGTCTCCTATAAAATAAAGAAAGGCTTACAAGACATCAAATTAAGTAGGAAAATAGTGAAAAAAACTTGTAAACCTTTTAGTCTGTAAAAACAGGCTACTTAGTCACAAGAGATTGTAGCTAGGGCAATATGTTGCAAAAATTAAGCCAATTTGTGAAAAGAAAATTTTACTACCCTAACATAAAAGATACTATTTTTGCTATATGCAAAAATAGTTCAGCTTTAGTGACTTAATTATTTTCAGATTAAATCTTGATATAAATAATTAAACAAATATCTACCATACTAAATTTGTCCATTTCCTGCACTAGTGAGCTGATTACTGATGACTTTCCATCCACAGTATAGTACAACAGCTTATGTAAAGCATACACTAAAAAGGAAAGACCAATCAATAGACAATGTTTTATATCAACAAGGAGACTTATTTTAGAAAATGTCTGAAAATGGCTAAAAATATCAAGACCTTATAATAATAAGAAAGAAGTTTGATGCAAACTAATTTGAATTAGGAGCTGAGAGAAATCAATTAGATATGAGAAAGCAATTTACTGCTGACAGAAAGAAAAAGAAATAGCTGTGGAGAAGAATGAGAAATTGAAACGTGGAATGAAAATGGGGAGGTATCAGAAATGTTAATGACAAAGAGTAAAAATAATAAAACTTGTGGCAGCTAAGAAACATCAAGTTGATTTTGGCAGGATAATAGACCTCTTCATCACAAAACTATTAACAATGAACTTTAAAAGCATTGTACAACAGCTGCATCTTCGATTTGAGAAAAAGTAAGCATAGCAATGTGTTTCCTAACAGACTGCATGCACTAAACTATAAATGATGACTTTTAAACAACACCTTCTAGTGATGACTGCATTTTTATGAATAGAAGAATGTAATATATCTATGAATCTAGAATGATATGAACCAGGGGACCTTTTAGTCTGCTGATAGTTTTTAACACATTTAGCAGTGTTGGGGAAGTATGAAAGGAACAGGAATGTATAAATCTTATGTCAATATTTAAAAGAGCAAACATAACCTGAATAGGTATAGCTGGAAGATATGCACCAATGCAGGGCTATTAATGGAATCCTCAGAAAATCCAGTGGTGATGAAATTATTTTAAAACTCAGCAAAGGAGAGCATTTACACCACAGTCTTATTCTAAAGACATAGAGAAAGGATGTGAACTTAAATCTTTTTTGGTTTCCTACTGATTTGCATACTCATTCCAGCTACAGAAGATCTGATCCATTCTGTCATATTTGTCTGAAGGCATTTAATTGCATTGCCCAATTTCAGGAAGAGTGCTGTATCTTCTTTATAATAAAATTCAAATGTAAGCTTGGGGTCAAAATGCATGGTTTTCTGATCAGCTGAGTGTCCTAACCATTAAGGTAGCACACTCTGCTCCCTCTTGCATTTTCTTGACCTAGTAATTCTTGAATTCATGTAGACTGGCTTCACTACTTCAATGTGAGGTCAGTCATCTGGGTCAAGCCCAAAGTCTTCTGGTAAACCACAGGACAGATCAAATGAAAGTGTTATTCCTTATGGCTTTAGAAATTCTCTGCCTCTTAAATCTGGATGTCTTCACTGAGGAAAAGCTTATCTCAAATTTACTTGATAAATTTTCCGCCAACCTCAACACAGTTACTGATAAAACAGCTGATAAAATTCATCACAGTCTTCAGGAAAAAGAAGGCAATTTCCTGAAAATATGATCTGGCATATCTCAGGGAAGGGATGCCACTAATGCTATTAATGAAAGATTAAGTCCAACTCTGTAAGTCAACACCACCAAGTCACAAAGATCTCTCCATATCAAAGCAGAACACAGATTTATAAGGTTATCTATTCTGAGAGGTAGCCAGCTGATTAATACTACAATGATGAACATCAGATTAAAATTAAAATAAAAATTTAATAATAATTTATTCACAGATGCCTTGAAACTTATTTCTAATGTTTCTGTCTTACAGGTATCATGGGTCCCTTGCACCAACAGGTGATCACTATCAGGTGATAGGCGTGAAGATAAAAAATCATTACATTTATTACTAGATACATTTTTACTGTTCTACTAATATCTAATAGATCTCAAACTGAAAAAAAGGAAAATCTGCAGCCATCATTCTTTTGATTTAACCATTCTTAACTCACAACATTGTAAATATGATAATTTAGCTGCTCAGTAATTTTTCTTTATTTATGAGCTTAGTGGTTTGAGTTCTGAAACATGATGATCTACAATTAGTGTGTCAGTTTTGATAAAAAAGTAGAACACTTATGCCCATGACTCTTCTTTGAAGGACATAGAATCACAGAATCACTAAGGACTCGAGGATTGCTAATTCCAACTGCTAGCTTAGCACTGCTGTGCTCATCCTTAAACCATATGCAGACGTGCCACATGCACACACCTTCTGAATGCTTCCACAGATGGTGATTCCACCACTTCCCTGGGCGGCCTGTTGCAATGGTTGATAACCCTTTCTATGAGGAAATTTTTCTAATAGCCAATTTAAATCTCCCCTGCTGCAACTCAAGCCATGTCCTCTCCTCTCTCTTACTACCTGAGAGAATAGACTGACCCCCATGTGGCCACACTCTCAGGTGGCTGAGGAGAGTGATTAGGCCCTGCTGAGCCTCCTCTTCAGCAGGCTAAATAACCTCCACTCCCTCAGCCACTCCTCTGCAGACATGTGTTCCAGATCCATCATCAGCTTTTTTCGTTCTTCTCTGCACTCAATGTTTTTCTTTTAGTAAGGGGCCCAAAAAAAGAACACAGGATTTGAGGTGCAGCCTCATCAATGGCAAATACAGGGGGATAATCACTGGCCTGTGTGTACAGGTCACATTATTTTTTGATAGAAGCCAGGGTGCTCTCGGCCTTTTTGACCAACTGGACACACTGGGACGTCATTTATTTGATTTTTGGTGTCACCTCTTGTGGCACATGTATCCCTTCATTGCAGAAAACATTATCTGAACCAAAGGAAGGAATCCCACAGCATTTCAACTTTACCACTTGAACATATTTCCACTGCAAGACCTTTGCTTCATTGTTCTACCCTGCATCTCATTCTCAGATCCTTTCATACTGGGAGAGGTGCACAAACTTACTTGTTACATGACGTGTGATTTTACAATAGAAACTATTGAATATAGACAGATGATTATCTCCTTGTGGGCAATGATTTTTATTGGGGTCATTTTTTTGCTTTTGTTATGAAGTCCATTTTCCTGAAAGGAAAAATTTTAAGATGGTATTTATTCTATTCATGAAAATCTCCCACCATTTTTTTTTTTATTTTTTCTTTTTTTTATGTTGTGACTAGTATTCTTTACAAGATGCAGCAAAATTAGTACCATTAGCTTCAGTCTACACAGCATCTGACCTAGTGATTAGAGCCCTTTCTTAATCATCAGCGTCACTAATTGACCCTTCTTTTTACAAGAGTTATTGCAGTTAGGCAGCATTTCAGCCTGCTAGCCTCTCTAGGCTATTTGCTTCAATAAACTCAATGTCCTTTTTGTGTAAGCTGGGAGACAGATAATCATGTTGACAAGTCATATTATATAGCTGTTAAACATACAATCCTCTTTCATCTCAGCCTAAAATACATCTCACTGACAGTAAGAAAGCAGTATTTTTAACAGGTACAAGTATACCTCACAGGCAATCATAACAGGGAAAAAAAAAAGTTTCTTAAATAAACATTCCTGGACCATTTCTTTTATTGGAATATTATGTTAGAGGACTTATGTGTCTTTTTACCCACAAAAGACACTTGATTATTAAATTCACATTTAAAAATGAGATTAAAATATTAAAATCTCAATATGCTTTTTATGGTCAATACCTTGATTTTATCACTAGTTGAACAATCTGGGTTTTTTTTCTCCTATTTAGTGTCATGCTGTTTAATGCAGTCATGCAGAACTATGTAGATTCTTCTTTTCTTATAGGAAGAAGTGACACAGGGATAAGATGCATGATGACTACTTGTCTATTTCCAAGAAAGAAAAAAGGGTGAAAAACCCCACCCTGAATAAAGACACAAAAGAAATGTTTAATGAAACTCCTCATCTGATTATTCTGAACCTGTATTTTACCAAACACTGTTTTTCCACCTGGATCCATCTCTGAGAAGGTCTGTGATGTTCATGATCAGACTGATGGGCACGGGCACAATGTAGGGAGCTGGGACCATTCCTCTTCAGAGCCAGGACAGAAGAGTCAGTCTGTCCTTCTGTGCATCTCCCATTCTGGGGGCAGTGCCTGGGGTTCACCTGATAATAAGTTGTCTCTTCTGTTCCCATCCTAACAGTATAATTTCCTGAATATAACCTTTTACTGACTTTGTAATGCAACTTTCAAATCTAGACAGAGACAGTCTGTGTCCTGAGGGGTTGAGAGTAGAATTGGGCGCTTTTTCCCCACTGTAGGGATTAAAAGTGCAGCACTTCTAATAATTAGGCTAAAAAATAAAATACATTTGTATATTTTATTATTTTTCTATAATTTAATGTTGCCTCAGAAAATGCTATTCAGTCAAGCAAGCAATTTTTTCTTTTGACAGGCCAGTAAGATATCATTAATTTTTCATTCTCATCAATCACCATGGTAAAGGCCGTCTGAGAACGTTTTGTGCTTTGACTGGTAATTTGTCATGACAATTTTGCAAGGTTGTTTTAATGCCTTCTTTTAGCTGATTGAAAATGTCTTATTTACTTCAATTAGTTTTACCAGTGAGACACCATGCTTTTATATAAAATGAATTGTTAATTGCTCCCCAAAGCCTAGGTAGACACCTGCTTTTCTATTAAAACACAGATCAAACTGCACATGTGGTGGGGGCTAAAATTAACTCTATTGTACAGGGAAGAGAGAGTTATGGCCTTGCAATGTGTAATGCAATCGATCTTATTTATGACATGAAATATTTTCTGATTTTCAGTGAAGTATTAGTTTTGCAATATAGAAAAAAATAACAAGCAGAAGCTGTTTTGTATTTACCTGTTTTCTAGAGACTACTATACTAAATATATATTTTTGTATGTGTTTTTATTGCCCTAAGTGATAGACGTTTCATAAATCCTTTGTAAAGCTGGTGAATTAAACAACCTTTCAATGACAATATTTTAAAATTAACTACTCAGCTCTTTATAACCTATTTAATGCTGACAGATGACAGAGAAAGCAAAAAAGAAGATTTAAAACATTTACATTAAAAATTTTCAAAGTCCCACAGTCCAGTCTCTAATCAAGCAGTAGTATTTGTTTTCTGCACATACTGTATGCAATTCTCATAATTACATTAATATTTCCACATAGTGAGGTCATACTACCACAGTATGGAAAACAGTTGTCTACAGCTGATTTCACTAGGTCACCAACACATTCTGCAGCTGGTATGAGGCCATAATTAGTGAAATTAATTAGCCTTAGGAAACTAAGCCATGTGACCTATACTTTAATACATATACTCGTTGCTATGGTAGCCCAAATAGGAGTCTGTCTCAAGCTGTTAGAGCCCCTGGTTGCCTTTCAGAGTGAACAGCAACAGTGTGGAGGTGCAGACAAAGCAAATGTATTTGTTGGATGTGGTAAACTGCAACAAATAGCAAATGAAGTGAAACTGATACCCGAAGGCATATAGCTTGATAGAAAACTAAAGGTAGTATTTAAGCTCTGTGATGAAAAGCTTCACTATTTTCAAACTTCAGGCATTGTCAGAATTTTATGGCACTGGTCAGAAACACTAGAGGTAAGTTAATGTTGTGGTAATATTTTTCCTTCATAGTATTGATTTCTTTCCTTATATTTCAAATTCTTCTAAACACAAACAAATGAATGCTCTTGGGCAGATGTGTCAAAGAGACCTTTTCAAGTTTAGATTTATACTTTTTTAAAAACTTTCTGCCACTTTCAGACTATGCCCATATACTTGCCTCATATTTTTGCTTCCATTTCTCTACAAAATCCTGTTTACCTACTGGCATCCAAAGTCTGTTGCAGAAAATCCCTTTTTAAATCAATGGTAAAATATCACCAGGAGATGTAGTCTTATATACTGAAGAATTTATTAATATTTTCAATATGTGACATGGAAAAAATTTTCAAGATATATGTTCAAATATATATTTGTTTTGAAAAATTAAGAAAAAAACCACCCACAGACATAAGGCATTCATGGAACTTTAACTGTAGGAAGACTTCATTTTAAAAGAAGGTTGCATGACTATTCTGCAGCTTTTTGCATTTTGAGCAAAGTTTGTGCTTGCTGACACAGAATTTCTTTATGTTGGATTTCAAACACTATTTTCTAAATTATTTTGACTGTGTGACCCTAAACTTTATTAGTCAGCTCCTGTAATCCCAGAATGTTTTTGAAAAGACATAGATGAAGGAAAAATTTGTTACAATAAGTATAATGATACATGTTGAAGAGATAAAAATACTACTGGGAGATGGTTTGAGATCTCGTGCATCACCCCTGTTGGAATACTCTATATAAGTAGAAAAATTTAATTGTTGGTTATATTTAGCTCCTGCAGTATAGGTCTGGGTAGTTTCCCAAACACTTACTGAAGTAAATGGTTTCCTTTCTAGTAATAACTTACATAATGCCTACATTTCTGCTGAGATTCAATGAGGCAGTTTATCTCCTTTTTATAATTATCTGAAAGATAACCTGGGTCAGGTACCACTCCCCTCACGAACTTTCAATGTCATCACAAAAAAAAAAAAAAAAAAAAAAAAGTTACTTTCCAGAGGAATTAAAATAACTGCATCATGAGAAGCTCTTAAGAAGTTAATGAATAATTCTGAAAACCTAGAATAAGGAAAATACGCTCATTAATTTACACATTAATTTTATTCCTTGTGCAAATGTAAATACTATGAAGTTTCTGACTATGCAAATGTAAACTTTGGTGACAGGGAAAAGGGAATGTTTAATTTGCAAGCCAGTACAGCACAATGGGTAGGGGCTCCCTGAGGAGAGGTCTCACTGCCCTGGGCTGGATGTGTCCCAGCCCAGCCAGCCCCAGCTCACCCACTGCAGGGCACTGCTGGCTGTGAAAATGCATTTAAGGAAGGGCAAGGAAATGCCACAAAGGAAAGAAGGAAAAAAGGAAGAAGGAAAAAAACTTGTGAGAAATGGCCCTGCAGAGACAGCAAGATCAGACAAGAGGGAGTCTGATGGGGCTCCCCAAATGCCAAAGCAGATATTTCCTTGCAGAGACCATAGCAGAGCAGAGGGGATTTCCTGCAGGAACTGAGGCCCAAGGAAAGTCCACACTACAGCAGGATTAACTTGGAGAACTCCAGTCACTGGAAGCATCCATGCAAGGGGAAAGGGCTCATCTGGGGGCCCTCTTAGCATAGGTGAAAGGAGAGGGAAGGAGCAGAGAGAATGATGTTTTACTGAGTGACCAAGTGCCCATTCCCACCCTCTATGCTAATTGGGGGGTGTAGGGGAGTCAGGAGGAAAAGAGCAAACAGGGAGAAAGGTGTTGTTTTAACATTTGTCTTTGTTTCTTACTCCCAAAATAAATTTCAGTAAGTTCTGCTCACTTTCCCTAAATTGAGTCTGTTTTGCTTGTCATGGTTGTTGGTAGGTCCTGTCTGTGTCTTTATCTTGGCCCAGGATCTTTGACATCCCACAGCCTCCCCCTGCCCCTCTGAGGACATTTTGGCTGCTGGGCAAGCCTAACCCAGCACAGTAACTGAAAGGCTTGGCATGGTCCTCCAACTTGAAGCAAACCTGATGCAAACTTTTAGCCAAATGCTTCTTCCTCCATCTAAGAAACTCTTATAGATGCTAAAGAACCTGATCTCTAATAATAGAAGTTCTGGTTTGCATGACAGCATCTAAATTAAAATTCCATCTATAAATTGCATTATATTATGAAATTTTAATATTTGATTTTATAGGGGTGCTTGGAGGAAGGTTCTTCTACATTGTATAGCAGTGAAATTAGATCTGAAGTTTTGCCCTCAAGTACAACGAAGTTGTAACCAAACTAGCTGGTTTACCCGGCTGGACACTGATTTCACATTGATCTGTACCAGCTGTAACTCCAAGTCATCTTATTTATGTAGTCAGGAGTCAGAACAGGACATTATTTATTTATTTTGGCAGGGTTCATTAATTAAATCAATGGCAAAACTTTCTAATCATAGCCAGGTTTTCATTGACTATGTTTTTTATGTCACAGTTACTAATTATAAAGCTGAACAAAGCAAAATAAAATGCAGCCCATTGCTAGTTTTTTGAAAGATATGTGAATTTAAAAAAAATTTAAAAGACAGGGCATTGAAATCTAGTAATGCAGACCATAAATATGAGTAAAAATGAGTGTAAGGTTTACGGAATTAAAGAACAATATTTTCTCAAATGCTTTTTGGAAGGTGCATTTTAATAAGCATTTGGAAGAGGGAGAAGACTCTCATGCACAAGAAATTGAAGAGTGACTAGGGTCCAAAGGGAGGCTCAGAAAGAGAAGGGTAGAAAAATAAAGGAATTATAAGAAGAGTGTTTTCTGAGTTGAAAAGGACACAAGGCAAAAGTGACAGACACATAATAGAAGTATTACAATTAATGTGATGGGAAAATTTATCACTGCAAGCCAAACAAACAAGAGTTTAATTTATAGATAGACTTATTGAAATTTAATTACAAGTTCTACAAAATTAAATTTATATTTTTTGTCTTGTATGGATTACTAAACCATGCTCAGCTATTGCTTTTATGTGCAAGAATTAAATATATAGAAATAAAAAACAGCAAACATTTCATAGAAAAGAAATTAAAATGCAAATTTGTATCTGTAAAACTTACAGTATTCTTTCAAAGGTTTAACAGTACTTTAGTGAATTAGTAATGCATCAGACTTTAAATAGTTAACCAAATACAGCTAGTACCACTAAAAGCAATAATATAAAACAAAATACACATCTTCAATAATTTTTAAGAAATATTCTTATCTAACAGTAAATATCTCTGAAGATATTGAGGTCATCTGACTTCCTCTTTCTCCTTTTATAAGGCACTTCAATATCTTCAAGGAGATCACTTATACTTCCTGTGGCTCAGCCCATCTTGTTTTAAAACATATTGTCTCATTTCTGCCACTGACTTGCTAAGCAAGACTCCGCCTCTGTTTTCCTACCTGACTAATTTTCCTATCTAATGTGATAAATTCTCTAAGGTGGAGACTTGCCTTCACTAGGTATATGTAGACCAGTTATGCCACTGCCAAGCCGTGACACAAATAGCAATGAATATATTTTTGTAATTATTGGCATTATGGTTTTAATTTGTGACTGTTCTCAATGTGTGTTATAAAAGTTTAATAATTCCACTTTTCAGAGAAAGGAGAAAACAAGTTAGAGGTGGGAAAGATTATCTGGCAAATAATACATAAGAAGCTTACAGTAGTGCAGGAAGCTGTATAAAATTGCGTCTTGGCTACCCAAACTATGAATAAATGTCTGACCTACCCCTTCTTTGCCTCTCCAGGGCCTAAAGCATGAGTACAAAAGAAGCTGAAGCAGGTCCATTAGTTTGACCTAGGAACTAGACAAACTACTTAATAAATATTGTTGTGAAAACTGATTCATTCATTCCTCTTTCCAGGAGTGCAGAGGATCATCTCTTACCCAATGAGAAATCTTTCAGTTAGATTGTTTGAGTGAACATGAGCACAAAGGAGCCCAGTGGAACAATGACAGTTGGGAAACACCAAAAATCTTATCTGGAGCCTCTGACCTGGCTCCTCCCATGGCATCCCTGGAAGGATGATCAGCCCCATGGCCCTTGTCAGTTCAAGTCAAAGGGAGAGGCTTTTCCTGGGGGAAGGCTGAAGGAGGGGCTTTCCCCAAGGAAAGTCTTTTAGAATGGAGATGGGGATAGGGGCTACTGCTACAGGGTTATGGGCTTCATTATGGGATGCTGTGGAAGAGCATTCTGGTCAAGACTTGGCATATTTGGCAAAAACAGCCAACAGTTAACAAAGGAAGGAATCGAGGTAGTTTGAAGAGGAACCAGCATGGGAAAACAGGGTCAGGTTGAAAGAAACCAGTTGAATGCTAGTAGAGGGATGGGTCACTGTGTTTGCATGGTCATGCCTTCTTCCTGATCTCTAAAATCTTCTGTAGCTATTTTGGGGAGACTCCATTCTGTGCTCATGTCTATGCATGGAGGTCTTGACACCAGCCACTGGGTAGGGCAGCAAATCTAGAGACTCATGCATCTATGGTGCCATCACATAGAGAAACTGGAACATGTGTGTGTAGTGTGGGTGTGCATGTCAGCATGTGCAGCTACCAGCAAATATCTAGTTGGTCTAGCAAGTGAGCAGGATAAGAGATTTGAGAGTCAAGTTCTGGAGTAGCCAAAGGGCTGGGTCAGATCTTGGTCCAAGAGTGGGTCTGAGAACTGGTACTGGAGGGACCTAGAGGTCCAGGCCAGCTCCTGTAGGGACCATGAGATCTGAAGGTTGGCTAAGACCAGAAGTGGGAATCATCTACGGGGAGGCCTGTTTATATGCATTTGTACATGAAGTCAGAGTGAAACCCAGGGGCTGGGTAGACTGAATGCTGACTCAGCCAACTTACTGGAGAGATAGATCATGTGTCTGTGCTTTACCAAAGGTGCTCTGAGTATCAGCAGCTGGACTAAGCTGTAGCCTTGCAGGCTCATATGTCCAGCTGCCAGTAATAGGGAGACCTGTGATCCAGTGGTAGCTGCTGCAGAGTCTGAGCCCAGCTTCTGGAGGGACCCACACAGAGTATGTGCTTCACTGATTGACCTTCATTCTCATTAGTCAGGGATGGGAACAGGGAAAGTATATTGATGCTGTTTGTGTGAGTGCATTTTCTGTCTGTGCTATGGTCTGTGTGACCAGCTGTGTTTGCATATATATATATATATATATATATATATATATATATATATATATATAAACACACACACATGCAAACTTGCTGTGTATGTGTGTTTTTTGTGTGCAAATGTGTGACTATTGGAGACTCAGGCTCAGCCTCACTACTGTGAGGAATGTGAATGCAAAGCTATGTCAGCCTTCTCTCCATTTACCTACAGCATTAACTCCTATCACTTTCTCCTATACGTAATTATATACTTTTCTTTCAGTGTTACTACTTTTACAAATAACAGTTGTCATACTGTTTGTAATCAGTGTGAAAATAAAATGTCTTAAGCAGAAAAAGAAGCAGCTAACCATTCTGCTTTTGTATGCCTTTACAACTTTTATTCTAGATATACATAATCTAATTCAGTATAAGGATGAAAACGTCTACAAAGATTAGATGCTGAAGTAAAAACCTATTGAAAAAAGCACAGAAAGTGAGAATTTTTGCCGTGCTGTTCTATTTCTAATAATAAACACTATTTCAGACAGCAATGCTATGTCATTATGTTTTGATATAATTAAAATCCAATCTTGGTTTCTCTAGTGGTATGAAACTACTCACCTGCATCCCAATACTAATATTACGCTATCACAATCCTGTCAAGATATTTTAAGAAAAATAGCTTTTCATCTGAGATCAGTTACATTTTACATATAGCTAAATAAAAAAGCACCTGCAAAAACTGCTACTTCTAGAATAAATATAAATGTTCCTAAAAATGCATCAGTCACTAACTTTCAGCCCCGAGGGTTCAAAAAGATATTCTTAGAATATTTTCTTTTTAAGGGAATTTCCATTGAATAGCAATTTTGCTTAAGGAATACAGTGAGAATACTTAAAGCACAGTGAGGCTGTCATGATCAACAATTGTTTTGTCCTGCAGAGCCAAGGGTTAGAGTGTTGGTTCTCTTTTGATGCCAGCAGCTTCTTTTAATGTCTAGTTTTCTCTTGTCAAATCCCAAACTATGCAAGAGCCTCTTCTCCTTCTGATTTCATAGGGCAAGTGAAACAAGACAAATGGGTGAGAGGAGGTCAAGTGATTAGCACAGGTAAGTAAAACATTTTGAAACTAGCAAGTCAGTGTAAATGCCTGACTAAAAGAATATCATTAAGTTTTATTAAAGTAAATGTCACTACCTGGGCACTTAAATGCAGATAACCAGGGATGTGAATTATGGTCATTTACTGAGACCACAGGATCATATGATTAATAGTTTTTTCATTAATGCAATTCTCTTAATACTTGAAATGTTTCCCAAACACTGTCTAATTAGAGAAATTTAATGTCAATTTAATTAGTCAATGATCACACCCTATGTGATTAATAAGTGTTTTATAAATAATTCTTGTGCCTAACAAAGGCACAGGGACATCAGTATTGGGACTAGAAATCAAGATAATACTCATCAGCCTCCATCTCTGTCCTTTCTTCCTTCTAGGATTGTAATAAGAAGTTAAATGCAACCCACTTAGAAATGAAACAGCTACTTCTGAGCCTGGAAGAATTCAATGTAACTATCAAGCCCTTCTTGGTAACTTCAACCCTTTAGCCCCACCAAGCATTTAACCTACAACCATTATTTAATAACATATGGGACTCAAAGCATAGCCTGGGATCACATTGTGTCAGGCATTCCATACATTTGTGCTAAGCAACTCTCTGCAATATACAAAATAGGAGAAATTATAATTTGTCAGCATAGATATGGACACTGATAGAGTGATCCCTGGTTCCAGTTGGAATGTCATTACTACATTGTAAAAGATTCATAGCAAGAAAAAAAATGTCTCTTAAGTTAAAAAAAACCTAAACACTAATTCAAAAAAACTCTGCTCAAATAGGCATAATGTGCTGTCAAGATAGCAAGAAAAAAATCTCTATATATTAATATCTAAATTAATGAGAAACATTGCAAGAATATAATGGTATCTATTTCAACATGTAGAGCTGAAAAAGAAAAGGAACAATGAAACTTGAAGCTGCATCAATTTGGTTTAATACAGAGACCGCTGACTGCTTGCAAGGACAGAGAGCCCGGTGGGGCAACAGATCATGTACTAGAGGTGATCTCTCCTCACTTTACAAAGGACATTGAGGTGCTGGCGTGTGTCCAGCAAAGGGCAACAAAGCTCATGAAAGGTCTAGGAACATGTCTTCAGACGAGCAGCTAAGGGAGCTGGGTTTGTTTAGTCTCAGGGAGGAGCTCATCATGCTCTACAACTCTCTGAAAGGAGGCTGTGGTGATTGGGGACCAGTGTCTTCTACTGGGCCTTCAGTGAGACAACCAGAGGAAATGGCTTTATGCTGAGACAGGGGAGATTCAGAATGGATAACAGAAAAAATGTTTTCACTTTTAGGGTGGTCATGCATTGGAACAGGTTGCCTAGTGAGGTGGTGGAGCCACCATCCCTGAAAGTGTTTATCTGGATCTGGCACTGCGTGATGGTTTAGGGGTCACAGTGGCAGTGCTGGATGGGTGATTGAACTGCATGCTTTTAAAGGTCTCTTCTAACCTTGATAATTCTATGATTCTATGATTCTTAGTCAGTTTTTGGCCATGCATTCATGAAAACCCCTGTAAAACCAAAATTCTCTGGTAGTTTGTGTAACATGAGTTAAGCTTCAAGTCAACTGTCATTTGGACTCCAGAGGCTTTGAAATAGATTTTGAGACGTTATACCTTTCAAAGCTCAGCTGAGACTGCAAGCTGGAGCATGTAAATCTTGAAGGCAAAGTAAACAAAAATGTTGGTAGTTAGGCCATACTTTAAAATTTGCAAGTGTCACCAGGAAATCTTATGCAAGGAGATATTTGTGGAAATTAATCTGCAAGCTTACTCACTCAGAAGGATAAGTGGATGTAGGGTGGCAAAAATGTGCTGGAAATAGCTAAGCAAATTGTTCACTATTTTGTGGCCCGCAAATAGAAGATGTGGAAAAAGCTTCTTTCATAGCAATTTCGTAGAAAGAAATGTTTCCTAATTGATGAGCATTATGCAGGTTCAGACCCTGCATCAGAGGCATAAAATGGTGTTAATGAGAGGTGATATTAAATATTGTGTAAGTTATGCTTCATGTCAAAAAACGTATGGTAGTTTAACCATGGTTCAGGCAGTTTTCATGTTCCCTTGCTACATTTACAGAATACAGCTGTCCAGACTAGTTATATTTATTCACAAGGAATGAAACAGCTCAATGTAGATGAACCAGCACAGACCACAGGAAGAAGCACAGCAGCAGCACTGTGACACTCTGGGCCAGCAGCCTTGTCTCACAATTACAAAGCTTCTGATTTGAGAAATAATCTGCTATTTCTTCAGTAAGCTCAAGTTTGTGCATTAGAGTTATCAATGCAGACCAACAGCTGATCTGAACTGGGACGTCAGCATATACTAAAACTGTGTGGGTTTTTGTTTTCTTTTGTTTTGTTTGTTTGGTTGGTTTGTTTTGGTTCTGTTTTGTTGTGGTTTTTTTTTATTTAAAAGGTAAGGGATGAACAGGGGTGCAGGTGGTCTCATGAGAGTCCACTAAAAAACCACCTATTGTTAAGAGCCTATGAATTTATTTTAATTTGTTCAGGCTTGAACTATGAATTGGAAAATCCTGTGTATTCAGTGGAAGAAAAATCCTGACTTTCTATGAGTTTCCCTCTAAAGCACTCAGCTAATTGGGTTATTTGTGATGGGTAAAAGCATGTCTTTCTTGGAAACACTTTTTCTTGTTTCCAAATGCATTATGACATTCTGGATTCAATGAAGCTTTCAGTTTATCTGGGCCCATTAGCACATGTTTGTCATCACCCAGGACCAAAATAGAAAATGGCCTTATTTCTTATTCCTAAGAATTATTAATGTTATGTGTGATAGCCATTAAGTCTCCTGATGTAGAGGAAATAACAGCAGTGATGTTTTTGTTGGGGGATGGGGAGTGGCAGGAATCATGGGGCTGTACAAGAACTGTAATCTCTTACTGGAATGTGGCTTTGGACTATGCTAGGAATTGCTTACTCATGCTGAGCTGCCCCTGGGAGTCATATGAGACTTTTGTTGTGGTCACATGCTTGCAATCACCATGGTGTAGGATGTTTATCAAAATCACTCAGGGAAAAAAAGCACTGTGCTTTTTAAAGCAGGTCTTGTGGTATGAAATATGTTTGCTTCATTTTCTGTAGAATAATGAGCTCACAGAAACTTTTACCAATGTTCACTTGAATATAGTCATCCTCTTCCCTACACAGTCTTAGTTTGTACTTTAAAAGGTGCAGTTACAATGAGCTTGTTTTTACTAAAGTGTTAAAAGCACTATTAAATTATAGAAGATGGCTTATATAGGTAGTTTTCATTTTAATCTTATTTGGATGTAAAAATCAGTACAATAGATTAAAAACTACTCAGATTATGTAAGTATAGAATGAGGACTGGGACTAATTCATTAGGAGAATAAAATTCACTCTATATTTTAGATTAATAAATTTATTGTTTTATGAATTTTATCTAATGGGTCAAAAGCTCACAACAAGATATTTATATGCATCTAAAAGTAAAGAATCCTAGAGATAAATTTCCAGTGACTACATCTGCTTTCCCGAATACCTGTGGAGGTGAAGACAAATCTTTCTGTGAGAGATACAAATTGCCTGTATAAACATATTCACAATTACACCTCATGCTAAGTTCAGAGAACTAAATGAAAGTCCCACATGCAAATATTCCTGGACCCCTGTGTTAGATGAAAAAAAAATGGAGATTGGCTCGTGTTAGAATTAACACAACAAAAATTGGTAGATTCCAGAGCAGTAAAATCTAAACTGTTATTGCGCCACCTCATTTAAAGGGTTTGAAATACTGGCTTGCCTCCTCCAAAATATTTTCTCACATGAAGAGTTCATTAATTTTACAATTTAGTTTTTAGCCCTAAGCAGACATTGGAAAGCAAGTCCAATGTGAGGACTGGTGAATAGGCCACTACAGGGCTGGCTAGGTGTTATCCTAGTTGGATTGTTCCTAATATTCAACACCTTTAATATTTCTATATTTAATGTCCTAATTAGAGATATACTCTGAAACAAAAATAGTACTATGAGAAGACTCCACCAAATATCAATATAGTATATGTCTTCTGATAAAAACTCATAGATGTTGCTGCAATATTTCTGCATCACAGAAAAGTGAGTGCTTTCAGAACCTTACATAAATCAAAAAATAAGAAGAAAAGAATATATTGCCAAACTAGGACCCTTATGCCAAGACTCTAACTAGGGAATCATAGGCCATCTTTCTGGCTTGAACTATCTACAGTTGTTAATTAGCAGACATGTTCCTTTAGCAAAATTAACAAGCAAGAAAATTAAAGCAGTCATATTTATATAAAATAGAAAAGGACATGTAGGACAAGAAAAATTAAATAGAGCTACTTTTGATTACCTCATTTTAATCTTTAGAAAAGAGAGATTTTAAAGCATCATTTTAAACCTGACACGGGATAAATCTTAGTATTAAAATGCATATAACAACTTCATAGTTTTTAATCACATATTGCAAAGGCATACATATTACTCACTGAAAAGAAATGTACTCTAGTAAAGGAATGGTGATTAAGCTAAAACCATACCTTTTTTATTCATTAAAGATTACTCTCAGTGTTAGAATCATAGGATGAATTGGTGCTGCAACATCATAAATTCAGAGATTGCCAAATACAAGTGAATGTACTTCTAGTGGCATCTCTGATAGCCATATCTGTCTGAGAGCTATCAAATAAAACTATAATTAAAAAAACCCTTTTCATGACTGATCTGAATTTTTTTGTTAAAGAATAAAAATATGGAATGAGTGAAGCACTTTGATCTAAGAAACAAGTTTCTACCCAAAATAGACTTTATTTTTTATGTACCGATTTTGAACAGCTGGTTTAAACAGTCTGAGTCTTTTTCCATCTAAACTTGTGTGCATTTGGATTAAGTATTCTTTGGTGCAGGACATGCAATTAATATGATAAAAGAAAGTAGTCAGTGGGTATCCTGATTGGCTGCTAGAAATTTCAAACCATAGCATGTCCCTGGCATAAGATCAAATGTCACATATTGGATGCTCATCACATGTGAAATACCAGGATGCCAACTGCTTCTCATTTAGCCAAGCAACTCTTTGGCCTTCTCCCAGCAGCTGGCTGGTACCCATTCAAAATTCACAGGTTGGAGGGACTGTGATCCCAGCAATCTTTTATTCCTCAATTTGCTTCATTTTTTGCTCATGGCTTTTCCTCTCTCTCTTCTTGTTTCACTGATGATTGCTAGTTTTCTTCTTTTTTCTTATTTCTGCATGTATTTGTGCCTTCTACTCCTTTATCTCTACCTTTCTCCCTTTTTTCTTTCATTTTCTTTTTTTTCCCTCTCTCTTTTCTTCCTTTTTTAGTTCACTAGGTTTTTTCTTCCATGTTACTTTCCCTTCTTTGCAATTTTGTCTAAAATTGT